AAAAAAAAAAAAAAAAAAAAAACAGGATCAAAGAATGTCATTTTCCAATATCACAGAGACTTGAACACATTTACAGGTCCAGGAAGAGATTGTTTTAAAGAAAGAACAGTGGTTGTGAGGAACCGTGCAGATGGGACAGGATTTGCTTGAGAACAGAGGCCCTCCCTTTTCTGAATCAGGAGTTGTAAGACAGTTTGAGGCACAGAGGATGGCCAGGGAAGAGGCCCACACTGATAACCTTCACCTTCTCAGAAAAGTGTGCGGAGGTGGGGTAGAGGAGATACAAGACGAGCAGAGCCCTGGGGGAGCTGCTGTGAATGTGGCACACAATGGGTATCTCCTGGTACCCAGGAAGACATGCTGGGCCGTGTGGGAATTGAGCTGAGTGCAGATGGTGCCTCTGTAGTAAGGACTGAAGGGTTTGGCATCGGGGAGTAATGCCAGCTTTTCTCTTTTATGTTTATTTTTTCTTGTGTCACAACCTGAAAACTATTAGGAGCAATACCTCTATTTAGATATAGCTGGTTCCACCAGAAACCTAAGAAGAGCAAAGTTTGTGAAAGTAAAAAGCAGTTAAATGTGTGAAAGACACATTCACACTCAAGCTTGAATCTAATCAATCCTTGATGGTTCCATTAAATTTCCCAAGGATAAATGAGCATGTGTGTATAAAAATGTAAAAATCAAGTGAAATGTTTACCTGAAATCAGAAAAGCAGAAGTGTTTCTCATTATTTTAAAACATGAAAATCTTGGGTTTGTCTTTTCAAAGGTGACTAGTTGTGCTTGGGTACCTGACAGTTGCCAGCTCTTTACTGGGAGCAAGTGTGGTGTTATCACAGCCTACATGAACAGATTCACCAGCAGTACGGTAGGTCCTGGCTCTCATGTACTTGGTTTGGTACTTTTCATGTCAGCGAGGGAAGAAAACCTTCACGAAGTATCATTTGCTTTGTGTAACACTAACTTAAAACATTTGTAATTTGATCTTTTCCCCATTTTGATCTTAAAATGTGAAAGTCACATGTCTGATTCCTTATTGGGATTGTGAAAATTTTGTAAATATAAAGGTCTTATGTTTTGGTTTCAGAGACAGATGACATTCATTTTGTATTTAGGCTCTCTCATGACATCTAAATGCTTGCCTGTGGTCTGAGTGTCCACCTAAATGCATAAGAAGAGTGTACCACAAGATTCTATCAAATTTGAAAACTTAGAAATCCTAACGTTCTACATTCCCGTACTGTCTCAGTAAACTAAATAACAGCAAAAATCTAAGTAGCTTGTCTTAATTACTGTCACTCACCAGAAGAATTCTTTTAATCCATTCACTGAACTTCCGCAATTTGAGAGTTAAATATGAAACAGCCTACTAAAGAAAAGAAGACAGGGCTGGGGATTTAGCAAGCGCAAGGACCTGAGTTTGATCCCTGGTACCAGAAAAAAGAAAAGAAGACATATTATGCAATGCTTCTTTTAATTTACTAACCCCTTTCTTGAACCAAATTATCTTACTTTCTCATTGCTGGTACAAAACACCCAATACCCACAAGTTAAAGGAAGAAATGTTTATTTTAGCTAACAATTTGTAGAGAGAGGTTTCAGTCCATAGTCAGCTCCAAGGCAGGTCAGCATGGCAGAGGGGCATCACAGAGGAGGAGAAACAGCCCCAGCATGGCAGGCAGAGAGCAGCAGTCCTTCCTTCTTCCCCTTTTCATTCTGTCCAGGCTACAAGCCTATTTGTTGGTGCCTCCCACACTCAGTCATCCCTCCTCGGTAAGTCCATTATCCACACCCAGAACTATGCTAAACCAATCAGGAGACTAATTTAATCACATCCAGGATCCAGTCACCTCCCAAAGCTCCATCTCTAAGTGCATGAAGCTTTGGGAGCACACCTAGATAGAAACCATAACACAGCTGCATGTGGAACAGTTCAGGGGAAGTGGCAAGTTAGGGTGGTAATCATCTTTCTATTCTAGAATCTTCTCTGGCCTGTTTTTTTCCATCATTATTATTTTAATTATATTACAAAATGTATTTTCCTGGGTGAAACCTGAGTTCCTAGCATAGAGTGACTCCCAGGTTTTTCTTACTTTTTTTATCTGAGTTTGTTGCATTTTAAACCCTCGTTAAGGTCCTTTGCTATGATCTCTGGGGTAGAAATGTGACTGTAACATTTTTTCCATCTCTTACCCAGAGCCATTAAAATGTTTTAATCAGGAATAATATTACCCATTTAGCACTTGAGGGAGACTCCTGTAGAGCTGTACAAGAAACATTTCTGGAGCAAGAAACTGGAGACCAGGACACAGCAATCCCAGCTGCATGCTGATAGGCAAGACAAGGAGCCAGCAGACAGGGAGCTGCCGGACAGGCTGCCAGACAGGCTGCCACACCTGAGTGGGATCAGCCAGATGTCAGGAATCCTAAAACCTTCCTGATGGGCAGGATCATTTTACTGCATAATGAAAGAAGGAAACACCATACCAGGCAGAGGAACTAGTTTACCCGACAGCACTGAATCTAAGGCCTGGTAACTTGGGGGATGGCAAGTAGTTTTCTTGGTAGTTTAGATTATAAGAATGCAGGAAAGGAATGGCAAAAATGGGGCAGAAACTGACTGAGGCCAGGGATAAGCTAATTACACACCATGATAACAGGATGCTTAGGAGTCTAAACAGAGGGGTCATAGCTCCTGGGATGTCTCCTTTTCTGTCGCAGTGGCCTAAAATGGATGTTAACCCCTGTGCATCTCTGATATCCCTGGTTGCTGGTGGAGCCCCTAATCTTCCATGTTTGCCTCTTGTTTTCCTTCTCCTGCAGATCTGTTCCAAACCTTGCCACTAGGGCCCTTGTCTGCTATGCACACAAATCGTTTTGTACCATGACATAGGTACCTTTTTAAAAACTGGATTCATCTTTTGCTTTTTATCTCCACTTGATTTTCCAAACACTTTGAGCAACCTTGTTCTTAGTTTTCTTCCTTTCTGCATTTTAATTATGCATCAATATGATGTGCATTACAGATTTTAAAAGAAAAAGATTAAGCTCTCAGTACAGGAACACAGAATACCTTTGAATATAGCAGATCAAAGGTATAGCTACTGTAATTTAAATACAGCAAGACTTCTTTTGGTTTTGAAGTATGGTAAGCTTATATAGGATTATATTACTTACTATTTTTCAGTTTATATTTTCCTGAAAGCAGATTAGTTTCAAAGCTGAGAAAACTCATATATTTGTATTCAGTGAATCAGAAGTGCTTGTTCCATTTAAAAATGAGTCACAGAAGAAAAAGTAGATGTGAGAAAAAACAAAATTTATAGAAATGAAATAAAAATAATAGCTGATATTTATCAAATGTTTACTTTGTATCAGGCATTATTCTGAGGTGTTTACATATTCTGGAGCATTGAATCTTAACAACCCTTGGGTACAGGTTTTATTGATGTTCTCATTTTCAGGTGACACTCCTGAACTTAGACTTTACCATTCTTGTATCTTTCCCAAGGTGTCACGGCTGGTTCATTGTAATGGCCAGTTAAATAGCAGTTTACAGAATTAATAAAATGGAAGGCAGATCTGTCTGAAAAACATTATACAAACTGGAACGTGTAAAAATACAAAGAGATGAGAAGGCATGGAGGGAAAAGAATGAGACAGTCCAGATGTGGCTCATAGTCACAAGAAGAAAGAGTGGAAAAAGGCAGAATTTGAAAAGAGTGACTGAGAATTTTCCAGGATTAAAACTTAAATTTTAGATTCAGGAATCCCAAGATAAGTAAAAATGGGTCAAACCTGTCTTCACCGGACAACCTCTGTCCACTGCCCCAGTTCAACCCCTTCCATAGGCCACCCGCTTCACCACAGAGGTTCTCTTCTCACTGTCCCGGCCTCCAGCCTCTTGCCCCACCAGTGTGTCTCCTGCAGGCTCTCAGGCCTTCCTAAAATGATGAGACCCTAACTCCTGGTTAAAATGTTTCAGTGTGGTATCCCACAGTGCCCATGGACAAAATTCAGGCTGCTAGTACCACACAGCATAAACCCAGCCCATGACTACTCTGCCTTTCCACCCTTTCTTTCCTGGGTCCTTCCACTTGGCCCTTTTGGCAATTCCACTTTCTCCCTTGTCCGTCTTTTATGCCCAGTGCTTTCTCAGCCCTGATGCTATCTGACAGCACCTTTCCTTTGTTTCACTCTGTCTTGCCAGTTGTCACACTCGGTTCCTCCAGTGATCCCACCCTTACCCCTTCCTCTAGTCTGAAGAGGTGACCTATCTGAGGGTCTTATGGATCCTGTGAAAATCCTCTTCCGCACAGCTTTCACTCATTACTGCCAGGAAGCTGAAGGAGGGGAAAGCCTGTCTGATTTCTGGATCCCCAGTTCCTGGTTCAGCGTGCACACAGTGGCAGGCACTTAGCACTGTATATTGGCTGAGTGAATGGAGTGTTCCAGGTTACCCGTCTGTGACCCTTAAGTTCTCGTGCAACAAAGAAATTCTGGGAGGAAATTCCCCATTTCTTAAAAAAGTATTCATAATAACTTCCTGAAAGAACTAAGACTGGATGAAATATATTCATCTAAATGTGTATTTGTAAAATGTATCTATACTTTAATAATATATAAAAATAATATATGTTTTATATAGCCTTTAGTAGTGTACATTTATAAGTATTAATCTTAAAGGCATCAAAAATCTGACAGGCTAGTAAGAAACTACCAATGCAGGGGCTGGGGATTTAGCCCAGTGGTTCCACTGCCTGCCTCTCAAGCACAAGGTCCTGAGAGTTAGACCCCCAGTACCAAAAAAATAAATACATAAAAGAAACTACCAAGGTAGAAAGATAAATAGGAGGGGATAGCCAGGTCCATGTCTGTAGTGCCAGGTCCTTGAGAAGCTGAGGCAGGAGGATCACTGAAGCCCAAGAGCTCAATATCAAGGATAATTGTCAATTCTGGAACGTTGACGCTGTCCTTGGACAGCCTCTTGTGGGAGAAAGAGAAACCAGCAGTAGAGACTGTACAAACTGGGGAGTCCCAAGGAGGCCTTCTTCCAGATACCAGTCCCTAAAGGGGTTCACTGGCAGCGTGAGGACGAGGGGGATAGGACCAGCTCCTGCACAGAACTGTCATCTTGGTTGTCCAGGATCCTCAGGACCTGACTATACCTAGAGAGGCCCAGACTGGTATGGTGTGGTTCACACCATCTGGCAGACACAGGGAAGGTACTTGGATTCTGTTTCATAAATACAGGAATTCCTACAAATAACTTTTTAATGAACTGACAAATACATAAAACCAAGTAACAAAATTACAATTAAGGAAATGAATACATGAAAACGTTGACACTTGGTTATAAAAATGGTTATTATAAAAGAAATATTTAAAGAAACTTTGATTACCATCTAAAACTGGGAAAATGTACTAAGATTAGAATTCAGGCAGATCACAAATCCAAGCGCTGCAGAGCTCAAGCAGAGAAGGGTGGGAGTCAAGCCCTTTGAGGAGGGAATTCTTTCAACCCAGATCCCCAAAGCATGGCCTGAAAGGATTCCAGGCACACCCTTGAGGCCCTCCAGGCTCCTGGCCCAGTGGAGAGGGTCACAGTCAGCAAGCCAAATGGGGCCCTCTAAATAAAGGAGGCCCAGAGACCCAGACCCAGACCCTTGCTCTTACTAAAAGCTAATCTGTCCTGAGTTCAATCCCCGGTACCAAAAGAAAAAGAAAAAGCTAATCTGGTTGCTGGTCTCATTGCTGTTCATTTGAAGAACATCTGCCCTAGCTTAACAGGCAACCTACTATACAGCTTCAGCCGGTTGTTCCAAGCTTCATGTTGCCCTGTCTTTTGATTTTAAGTGTAAAACATACATATGCATGTGTGTGTGTGTGTGTATATGAATAAAATAGCAGTTAAGATAGATAAGCTACACCTAGTATATTAAAACAAATATACTTCAAAAATAGTAGTGAACCAAATGGGCAACATGAAGAAGATATAAATTTCATATATATGGTTTATAAACCTGAGAAACAATGTGTTTATAGTTATATTAACATAGCTGTATACAAGCTTACATGAAAACAAATAAAATTTAGGCTAATAACTTCTGACAAGGGAGAGGAAATAGTATGTAGAACAGTACGCATATGACTAATGCTTTTTTTCTCCTGGTATGGGGAATTGAACTCAGGACCTTGCGTTTGCAAGATGGGGTCACTGCCACTGAGCTGAATCCCTCTGCCCATTTAATGCTTTATTCTAAAAATAAACTGACAAATATAAAATGTTAAGATTTAACTGGGTAGTCGCTATATTTTATTTATTATTATACTTACTCCTCTTTTTATATTTCTATATTCTTCCAAGGGAAAATACTAAAATGCTTATGACAATAAATAGCCCCGTGAAGAAAACAGGAGTCAAACCCTTTGTGGACAGCTGGCATCTGTGAGCCAATCTGGACTTCTGGTGTCAGTTTGCAGGCTTTGCTTAGAAAGTCATTCTGTAACTGTGACCCATACATAGCATCAGGAGTTGGTGTAACACCTTTGAAAAGTACCCTATCAAGAACTATAAATTCAGTGACCCATTAGTAAAGTTATGCAGTTTATTCTAAAGAATTCAGAAAAAGAACAAAACATTTATATATAAAGAATTTATGGCATTATAATTTGAAAATAATTGGAGTGCTGAGTATGGTGGCACATGTCTGTTGAGGTAGGAGGGTCCCTAATGTGAGGCCAGCCTGGGCTCTAGAGTAAGTTCCAGGCCAGCCTAGACTACACGGCAAGATCCTGTCTTAAACCCCACCACCTCAAAACAAAAGTGGAAACAATTTAAAAAATCAATTGAAGCCACTCAAATCAACTACAGTATACTAACTATAAAGAATATTATAATACCACTAAAAATCATTTTGAAGACAGTCTCAAAATTAGAAAATATTTATAAGAGAATGTATGAAAGAAAATTATTTATATGGCAGTATTCCGACTATAAAAAGTGTATGTGCCTTCGAACAAAGACGGAACAAGAAAGACAGAAATGAAAAGCATATTAGTTGATGAAATTGAGTAATTTAAATTTTTAAAAATTCTTTTATTCTGTAAAAAAGTTGAACTGACTAGGACTGAAAATGGTCAAATAAGAATGTTTGAGTCACTTGATATTTTTATTTTCAAGATACTGTACTAGCATATTTTGTGTGGTGATTGCTATCTTATCCTTCACTTAACTAAATTTCAGCCATCAGAGATAGAAATGGAGACTCAGATGCATCTCTATGGGCACACAGAAGAGATAACCAGCTTATTTGTCTGCAAACCATACAGTATAATGATAAGCGTAAGCAGAGACGGAACCTGTATCGTGTGGGACTTAAACAGGTATGGAAGTCTCTCGCACAGCTATTTTTAATATTGCTATTCAGATCGTACAAAATATACGCTAAAATAAAACCATTACTGCTAGGCTTGGAGGCACACACCTGTAATCCCAGCACTTGGGAGGCTGAGACAGGAGGATCATAGTGAGTTCCAGGCCAGCCTGGAACACATATAGAGACCCTGTCTCAAGAAACCAAATAAATAAATAAACGGAATGAATAAATGAACCCATTACAGTTTTAAGCAAGCCTAATAGTAATAAGATTACCTTTGTAAAATTATTCAAATTGAAAGATCAAATAAGAAAACATGTATGCCCTATAAATAATAAGTAGATATACCAAGGAAAAGAATTGCACCAGTAAGAAAATATAATTCTCATATGCAAATTCAAGTGTTTTGTTTTTCAGGCTATGCTATGTACAGAGTCTGGCAGGACACAAAAGCCCTGTCACAGCCGTCTCTGCCAGTGAAACATCAGGTGACATTGCTACTGTGTGTGACTCAGGTGAGCTCGCCCCAAACCAAAGCACAGGGCTGCTCCTCCAGCAGCACACTGGCCGGTGGTTACCTCTGAGGTCAGGCTTCTCTAAGGTCTTTGCAGAGCTAAGCACTTCAGTCCTCGTACATCAGTGTATTAAAGTACAACGTGGTCCAAAGCTGAGTTCCTCAGTTGAGGCACAACTTAAACAGAAATTAATATTGTCATAATTTAGCTCTTTTCCAGATATATGTAAAATTGGGTTTGAATACACATAAGCACATTATTGTTGGTTACCTGAAGTTTCTGGATATTTGTTTTTCTATCCTAATTTTCAAGAATGACTCACAAAACACAGAAAAACACCAGATAGGTTGAATGTCCCTTATCTAAAATACTTGGGAGCAGAGCATTTCAGATTTTGTATCTTTATTGCATCATGGAGTATGTGCATACATGTGATGAGGGATCTTGGGGATAGGGCCTGCGTCTAAACGCAGAATGTATTATGTTTTGGATACACCTCATATGAGCATGAAGTCTAGTGTGGAGTTTTCCACTTGAATCATCGTGACAACTGTCAAAAAGTTTGTTTCCATACTCTTTCAGATGGTCAGCTTGTACTTAGTACCATCATTTATTATAAAGGATAGAAAAGAGCAGCCAGATGAAGAGTCACTCAGGCGAGTTAGGAAGGATCCTGAGCACAGGAGCCCTGTCCACATGGAGACAGGGTTTAGCGTTGAGATGCACCAGCCCCGGGCACCAGGATATGTTCTCCGGCCCGAATGCAAACCGGCCTTGTCATTTAGAGAATTGACTGAACAATCAAGATCCAGAAGTGACAGGTGACAGAGCACCACCTTGGGGGTGGGTCTGAAATCCTGGTGACCAGCACCCCATCTTAGTATACAAAAGACAGTAAATTCCAAAGCTGTGTCAGGAACATGGGCAAAGACCAAATATTTGCTTTTTATTATGCTACAGATATCTCTTAGAGTTTTGTTGTTGCTGTTACTGTTTTTACAAAGTATACATTCATTCTTGTATTCAAGAAAAGTAATGTCGGGCCGGGGATTTAGCTCAGTGGTTTGGTGGCCTGCCTTGCAAGCTCAAGGACCTGAGTTCAATCCCCGGTACCAAAAAAAAAAAAAAAAAAAAAAAAAAAAAAAAAAAAAAAAAAAAGAAAAGAAAAGAAAAGTAATGTCTTCAATTATGATTAAAGATTTCAGACATGAAAATATTTTTGCCACTCATCTCCAGTCATAAAATCACTTATGTCATGAAACCACTTTTATTTCCTAATGACCGTATCTAAGGGAAAAGATCTTAAACAGTCAACTTTGGTATAAATTGATGACTTTGTTGATTGTACATTGTCAGCTTTTACGGTGTCACATCCAGAGGGATGGTGGGGGAGTAACACCATGCTAATTTGTATAAAGTTTCTACTCTCTTACTTCGGCAGTGTTTGAAAGTTAGGACTGATCCTGAGGGAGCTGAATTTTTTAGAGTTAATTACTTTCCTGCTGCCAGTAGTGATTTACATCTGTGAAACTACATCAGTTAGGCATATGAGAACTAGTAATAAAATTACTTTTGCTGTAGTTACCAACTTATTAGTAGGATATTTGGGTGTCTCTGGATAACAAATAGTATAACAAAGTAATGGGCAGAACTTTTTTTTCAATTTGAACAAAAAAAGCCTTCTCAAAAACTTTAAGGTCTCTTGATACATATATAAAATAATTCACAAAGAGCACTTATTATGAAGGACATAATTTTTAAAATTACTTTTTAAAAGAGAAGTCAAATGTGTTTAGTAACCCAGACTATAGTCCTATTTTCTTATGGGCCAAGAAGGGGGAAAAAGTAATCAGATTTAACCTACCAAAAATTATGACCTTTTTAGTGGACACTATACAGGTTTCCTTCGAGCCAAAATTAAAAATAAATAAGTATTTATGTATATGTATGTACATTTATGTACATAAAATCTTCTCAAGAGTTACACTGTCAATTTCATTCCTCCTGATCATAATTCCTATGTTCTTATTATGGGATGTGGTTTTTATAGTGATAGGATATGAAATTACAGAGATTTTATAATGTTTTTATATTTTTGTAACCATTCCATCACTGGATCAAAACATATGCCTCTAAATGAGGGTGAGACATGTACAACCTGGTCCTGTTATGGTGACATCGTGAAGGTAACACCATTCTCAGAGATCTAGGGCAAGTCAGTGTAATTTCCATGATAGTGTATAGGAAGAGTAGAGATTTTTTTCAGAAATGCTCAAGTTTCTGACTTTTAGTTGATGTATTAAACTATATATGAAAGCAATCTGGTGTTGAGTTATAGTCTATAATTTGGTATGTTTAGTCTTAGGCAAATGACTAGCTATTTGGTGTTGTGGTAGCCCAAGATGCTGGGTGGTGAGTGACTAGGATAATTGTTTGGCTATTAATTCCACATGTCAGGGAACACAGACTCACATTTATATTTATATTTGGTCTGTGATATTTGAAAGTCTTTGATGTCTATTTAAATAATTTAGACATATTTCTAATGCTAGTGAGGTTTTTACTATAAAATATGAACTATTTTCATTGTTTGATGAATACTTTTGTTAGTCCTAATGAAAAGGTAAAATTAAGGGTGTGAGACAAGTCATCCAAATGTGTTCATACTTCAGAATCTTTCTTTTTTTTTTTTTTTTTTTTTGGTACCAAGGATCAAATCAAGCCTTCTGCTTGCAAGGCAGGTGGCAGCACCACTAAGCTATATCGCCAGCTAAGAGCCTCTTTTTTTCATCGGAAAATATTTCCTCAAAGAAAGCTGTATGAGTCATCATAAGCCCAAGAAACCCACTTTTGATGCATGGCACACAATTATTGCTTCTTCCAATTCTCCAGAAAACTAGAAGAACAATGGTCCCTCTGTAATCTTTGAAAAGAAAAAGTTTAATAAGACGTTGATAAATCCTACCTAGAGGTCCTAAAGAGTAAGCTTTCTTCTAATCAAGAACTAGTTTTTGGGCTAGAGGTTTAGCTCAGTGGTGCTGCCACCTGCCTCACAAGTGCAAGGTCCTGAGTTTGATACCAGTACCAAACCCCCCCCCCCAAAAAGAAAAGAATTAGTTTTTGGCTGGAGATTTAGCTCAATGGCTTACAAGCACAAAGTCCTGAGATCAGTCCCCACCCCACCCCCAAAAAGAGTTTTTAACTCCGGTAAATTTTACTGTAACTTTTGTTTCTTTGAAAGTCACATAATTCATTTCTGGATAGTTTCACAGAATATTTTCATCTCTTTTTATGCATTGTTTTGTGTTTATAAATTGTTTCAAACATAAGTAAAATTTGATATTTCAAAGGCTGAAATGTGATAATTACATAAACATTCATGATTAATTTGCCTTGTTGCTCTGCATCATATATTATATTTTTACATTCTTATGGATTCTTGTCTCTAGATAAATATGTAAGCCTCTGAGACTTACACTAGAATAATTTAATCTTTGGTCATGGTTGCCTGTGAACTTCGCAACTACACTAGCAAGCATGGCCCTCGGGGATGCCCTTGGGCACCCATGTGCCTGCGCTCCAGACCCTATATCCTGGTGACCTTCTGGACAATTTGGTGTTTTAGCGGGCGGAGGCAGTGACCTTAGACTCTGGACAGTGAATGGAGACCTCGTTGGACATGTCCACTGCAGGGAGATCATCTGCTCCGTGGCTTTCTCCAACCAGCCTGAGGGAGTATCTATCAATGTAATTGCTGGAGGCTTAGAAAATGGAATTGTAAGGTAAGCTGAGTTTGGATTCTTTTTTGGCTTTTAATCATAGAGACACAACCTTTTCAGAAATCAGTTTTTAATACGTATCCATGTTAATATTTAATACCTAGAGATTTAAAATCCTCTTTGGATACAGGTTCTTCAGTTATTCCTGTTTTATCTTTAAATACTAAAGATAGCTTTTGGAACCAGGGATGTAGCTCAGCCGTGCTGCGCCTACCTAGCAAGTACAAGGTCCTGAGTTCAATTCCTGGTACCTAAAAAGAAAAAAATGATAGCTTTAGAAATTCTACATTAACTATAAAAGATTATCAGTATGGGAGTATATGAAGTTAAAAGTTCCTTATTCCCACATTCACCCCTGTAAAATTCATAGCAATAACACTGTTAATTGCTTATTTCCTTCCAGGTAACTTTTAACACATAAACAAATGTGTAGGTTTTTCAGTGAGGGTAGTTTTAGTTTGCTTGACTAGATGAATTTTTTTCCTTCTAGGTTATGGAGCACCTGGGACTTAAAGCCGGTGAGAGAAATTACATTTCCCAAATCAAATAAGCCTATTGTAAGGTAAGATCTTCCCCCTTTATTCTTCATAATATAATTTGTGAATGTATTTTTGCTAGAGACAGGTTAAAGCACATAGACCTAAAGAACTGTGTGCTTGAAGGCATCATGGAAAGCCAGCTATTTCTCACAGCAGGTTGTCTAAAACCCAGAGCAAAAGGACCACACTTACTGCGTTGTGGAGCAAGTCTGAGTCAGGAACTCTGAGCCTAATGGACAGGCAGGCTGAGTAGTTAACCCAGGAGGCCTCAAAAAGTACAGAACCTGTGCTTTTTCACTACCTTGACAAGCTGGATAAAGAGCCAGCTACCCTTTGCTGTGTAAACAAATTTGACTCTTAAAAACTCATTAGAAGTAAAGTGATTCAAATTCTAGTTTATTAAAATAAATTTATTTTCATTGTACTAGCTCTAAAGTTTAATGAGCCTAAATTATTTTTAATCTGTTTTTTATCCTTTTTCAGGAAGATAAAATATGTCTATAAAGTAATTACAATTTTAAGGATATATACTGTTATTTTTCAAAGTTACCTATAGTTTAGCATTTGTGGTTTAGGTATAAAGCATAAACAAGAAAAACAGAACTACTATGCAAAGAAGGAATAGATTGTCCTGAGCTCTTGGGTCCTGGTTTTATCCTGTGCCACCTGGTTAAAATGAGCCTCACAACTTGTCAGCAGAGCGATGTCTCAGAAACAGTCAAGACCAATAAGTGATAGCCATCATTTAATTTATGTCTCTCTGCTCCAGGGAAAATATTTTACCTTCTGTATCATGACCAGTGTGCCAAGATAATTTTAAGAAATATAACTACACATGGGGTTTGTTTTTACAGCCTTACGTTTTCCTGTGATGGCCACCATTTGTACACAGCCAACAGTGAGGGGACAGTGATCGCCTGGTGTCGGAAGGACCAGCAGCGTGTGAAGCAGCCCATGTTCTATTCCTTCCTCAGCAGTTATGGAGCTGGGTGACCCTGAGGGGCTGTGTTCTACAGAGCACAGGACCCACACCTCAGGGGTCAATTTTGCCAGTGCAGGAGGCTGAGCCTGAAGAAATGGATGACTAAAACAAACATCCAAATAATAGTATCTGCTCTTCTGCACAAAATTCCAAAGGCATCTCAGGTCCTGAAAGGAAAGTTCTGTCCTAATTGAGCGATGATACAGGAGATTGTGTCAGTGTGTACCAACCAACAAGCTGCAGCTCTTGCCTGGTAAATTAAAGTCAGTCTTAATGTTTTTCCCACAAAGGTATTCTGAAGAAAAGATAATTGTCACCCTTTTTCTGTTTTTTTTTTTTTCCAAAAGAGCCAGCAGAATTTAAATTGGCTAGATGGTTATTTATATAAAATATTATAAATATTATATTTTAAAAGTTTTCTGCTTTGAGATACCCCTACCCCCCCACCACAAACCTAATAAAGGAAAGAAAAAAAGGTGACAACTTTCAGGACTCAATAATTGCTTTCTTTGAAAAGCAAACTATTCAGTAGGTGCCTCTGCACCAAACATTTTATGGAATATCTGAATACTAAGACTATGAATGAATCTAAGCACTAGGCAGTTTTTGCCAGTTGCCTTCTTAGCTCAAAGGAGAACCAGAATTTTTTTGACAACCACAAACAAGAAAGCAAGTATCTCTTGCTTTCAGATACATTTTGTTTTTCATTAAAAATTTTACTTAAAATCCATGAAACTAGATACTGAATATCCTTAGTTGAATCAGCAAGTTCAGCAAGTTGATAAATCTTTCAATATCTACCAATAATAGCTTCACTTACAAAGCATAGAATGCTTAACCAATTGCAGTAGAAAGCCTCCACTATGCAAGAAGGAATTTTCTTACTTAAAACAATTTTAAAATGAGACAGTTTACTGAATTTTAAACAGAAGACAGAATAATTCTAGGATATCATTTCACCTGTTCCTGCTAACCTATTACACCTGAGAATTCTAGGAACACTAGAAAAATCTAAGTGCACTCCATAGCAAACCTACACACTATAAAGACAGAATTTCTAAACATCTTGGAATAGTCCATCTCTGCCATGCTGTGACAGCTGTATTTTTTCTTGGGGTGCTGCTTTAGTGGGTTTGAAAACACTGTAAAATAGGCTTAGAAATACGTTACCACAGGATAAAACTATGTATTCCTATCTAAGAATAACTTGAGTATTTGTTATGGAAATTTAATTCATATAATGTTTATAGAATTACTTTTATAACTTCCACACTTTCTACAACATTCTGCTTAGAAGCTATAAAATACAATTGCAAAGTCTCTGCTCTCAAGATAAGGACCCAGGCAAGCGAGTGGCCACTTGTGCCCCTAACCTTCAGCTGCACACATGTGCTAAGGACCTTACTGGCTACATTTGGATCATGGTTTACACTGGTTTACATGGTTTACATGGTTTAATTCTGAGGTCCATTTAATTGCAGAGATGAGATTATTCCTATTCACGTTGAAGTGATTTGCTTTGTTTAAAACAAAATTGCAGCTATTGTCTAGTTTCCATTTTTTTACTGAAAACTTTAGTCTCTTATTAGGATAGAGTTGCTACTTGGTTTGTTTTTAAGGGCTGAATTTTGTCATTTATGGAAAGAGAAAATATGCAAAATAACTGGTCATGTTAACAGTGCAATATTCTATTTTTATGTAAAAAATAAAATTTGGGGGGATTATTTATTCAGCATGAAACCTAATATGTATATGTTGGAAACACTTCATAATGTGCACGTTGTAACAAACATTCCTATAAATTATTGCAAGCCCTGTTACCTTTGTATACACTGCTACTTCAATTTGGAAATAAATTTCATAAAAACAGGTTTAAATGATCATCCTTTAGACAGTAAATATTATAACCACAAGTTGATGGCTTTTTAAAAACCCACATAGGTTCTTCATTCAACTCCCTTATAAATTTCTATCACTAGGAAATGAAGAAGATAATTTTTTTTCTTTTTTTTGTGGTACCAGGGATTGAACTCCGGACCTTGTGCTTGTGAAGCAGGTGGTGGAGCTAAATCCCTGGCCCTAATTTTCATTTTTTAATTGGAGTTTTTGTACTAAAACATTACAGGTTGGTTTTGTGTTTGTTTGTTTGTTTGGTACCAGGGTTTGAACTCTGGTCCTTACGCTTGTAAGGCAGGTGATGGAACCACTCAGCTAAATCCCCAGCCCTGTACTAAAACGTTAAATATCAACCTTTCCTATCTCTAAATGAAATTTAGACATCAGTCATGAGATCGGCCCACTTGTTTTGACTTTTTCTTTTTTTTTTGAGACAGGGTCTCACTATGTAATCCAGGCTGGCCTTGAACTCTTGGTGATCCTCCTGCCTCTTTCCTAAGGACACTTGTTTTAAAGGAAAACGTATCCCCGCTCCCATGGCAGATCTACAGTGAGTCCCTGAAATGCATCAGGCATCATTCTAAGTGCTGAAGATGTGATGTTACACAAAATGTGGTTGTCCCCTGCCTTCCTGAAGGTCACAGGCTAGTGGAGAGGCAACCATAATGCCACGGGTAGCATACATGGTGAGTGCTGGGGAGACTGAGTCAGAGCTACTCTAGAGCAGAATTCAGTGTCAATGGCTGTCATCCAGAACGCCTCTGGAGAGTGAGTGTTTTGTTGCAACCTAAGGGGTGGATAGTAATCCAGGTGAAGATGGCACATGTGTTCCAGAAAACACAGGTGTGAGCTCCTGGGACGGAACATTGGCAGGCCCAGGCCAGGGAAAGGAGTGGCTGTCAACACCCACCTTGGTGGGTGGGGAGAGGCGGCAGAGTGGCAGTGACTCAGACCGCACAGTGAGTGGTCCGAGCACCCAGTCTGCCGCTGCTTCGGCCTTGCTTCCCTGGTGTTCTGTGGTTCTCCAGATAGGCTCTAGGTACCCTTCTGTCCCCAGGAGAACCCAGCGGCAGCATTTTATCGGTGGAAGCCTGCTGAACCAAAGGTCTGCTCTGCAGCAGGCCTCCCTTGTCCCTTGGTCTGGATGATTACAGGGAGGGAGGAGCCAGGATGCTCACTCCTGACACCGTCAGCCACTGGGTAGCTTGCTGATGTCCTAGGGCAACAAAAAGAAACTCAACAAGTCAGTATGCATCAACAGTGTTGAAAAGAGGTTAGCTGAAGAGTGAAATTGTTGAGATTCTGGTGTTATCCGTATCACTGTCCCCCTTTTGTTGCTGATGATCCTTCATCTGTTCCTAGTTTATCCACAGTGGGGACAAAATGTCCCAATTTGTTCCCAAAGTATTTCACTTCTTGGCCAGCTGTATACTGTAATCGTTTTCAGGGAACTCCTTTTTAATTAGTGAACTCCATCTATTATGAAGCTAAAGCGTTTCACAATCTAGTGGTTTGAAAACCCCTCTCCAGAAAGACCAGGTGAAAAGCATTGGCAGTTGGACTGTAGGTGGGGAGGAAACAGAAATGCCATTTGAGCAATTTAAGATTGAGGCCAAAGGAAGCAGCACTGTAAACTGGTCTCAGGATCACCTGGCATAACATCAAGACATGCAGTATTTATCAGGTATTTCCCACAATTATGTCCCATTTTAAACTCCACAATTGAAGCTGACACATTTGCTAATATAAAATATATACACATACACTTAAACGCACACAAAGATGGGAGAGAGGGGCCACCGGTTGTATGTTATGTGACACTAACAAAAATATGCCTGCCACTGGGAACACTGGGTTACAATTCAGCTGTTTGAGAGAAATTAAATGTGTCCTTGAGACCAAAGTGACTAGAAGATTATTTGAGACTAAACTGTAATATTCTAGTTTAAGCACTGAGCGTGTCTCTTCCTCAAGAGCAAAGAATGAGAGACGGATTATTTTGTGGCCAAGTTTGGCTCTTCCCAAAGTGTATTAAGCTGATTTTATGAAAATTTTTGAAGGCTAATGAAGAATTTTCTGGGGTTTTTGTAAAAAATGAAGCTATAATTTTTTTTTTCCAGTATCGGGAATTGAGCTCTGGACCTTGCTCTTGTCAGGCAGGTGCAGCACCAAGGAGCTAAACTCCCGGCGAAGATATAATTTTGATGGTGATTGAGCTAAATACAAATGATTAACTAGCTAACATCCTTATGTATTTTCCATATGTAGTTTTTTTATGTAGTGATTTTTTTTGCCACCAAGAAAGGTCTGGTTTCTTCTTAGGGCTTCTACCTCCCTAAGAATCAGTCACATATTTTATTTTCTGGTATGGCCTGGAGAGCCCGGGTGTGGGACACATGCCACACAGCCTGCACAGGGGACTGAAGGAACAGGTGAGCTCCACTCCCCCATGTTCTTGTTGAGGCCCACACACCATCGCAGACTCTGGCAGGATCAGTATGGCAGAGCCATTTCCGGTGCCACCTCGTGAGCACAAAGCCTCCGTTTCGTTCCCCTTTAATGAGCCATCCTCTTCCCACCTGCTTTTCTTGCATTTTAAATTTTTTTCAGTTATTACAATCAATTCTTTTGGAAAGTCTTTCTCCTGGGAACACATAGGGTTTTGCAAACAACCAAAACCCACCAGAGCCAAATCTGACAAATATTTGATAAATGTTGGTTAAAAACAAAGTAAAAGTCAAGTATGGCAGTGCACAAGTTTGAGCCCTGCCTGGGCAACTTTGTGACTTAGCAAGACCATGTCTCAAAAAAAGGGCTGGGATGGATCTCAGTGCAAAGGCCCT